AAAATTCAATTTAATGAATTGAAAAAAATAAATTGAAAATTTCAATTTACATTAACTAATGGTAATTGATTTTCAAATAAATGAATTGAAAAAACTAATCATTATTTCAAACTCTGGTAAAAACCCATAAATTTCCATCAAACATCAAATTTCAAATGAAATTAAACCAATTCGAAACAAAACAAAGATTTCATCAGAATTAAGGGACACTATCGTTGAAATTCCGTTCAAAATACAATCAAAAAACAAGAACACAAAATGCATATTAATTACACGCCACGAACGATTCAAAAACTGAAACACCGTTGTATACTTAAAGCGTATATTTAGTTGTTTATCCAAAGCGCATACCATCAATTCATAACCAACAAACCAAATTGGTGGAGCGAAAGCTTGGTCAGCCGCCAATTTTTCGGTTGTGAAGCGGAAAATTGACACCAAAACCAGAAGTGAAACTTTAAACACTGTCCATTTGCTTCGATCGTGTTTATATTTAACAAAAAAAAAACCATTCAATTTTCGGCAAATGATGCGCTTGCATTTGATGTTATTTTTCCCAAAAATGTGTGCTTTACATTAAATTAAATCCAGCCGACAAATACAACAAAATGGAAATATCGTCTATATTAAATGGCGAAAGTGATGCGATGGATATATTTTATACGGTTCATAGTCCACTTGACGATGTATTCAAATCGTTTTCGAGTTTATATTTAAAATAAGCGTGTTTTTTTTGTTTTTGTTTAATTGGATGCAATTTCCGTGTGCAATGGACATTTGTGTGATGTGTAAATATAGCGCACATTTTCAAGTGTTTTCAAGCCACCGACTTTATTGCAATCGTAAATTTTATCCAATTATTTTGTTGGACAGCGTACATTTTTGATTGTTGTCATTCAATGCAGGCCGCATTCGCGTGGCGATAGAGAATCCAATATATTGGGAATTTGATTACAATTTTGCTGCCACTTCGAAAACAAAAGTGTGTATTGTATATATGTAATTTAATTCGATGCATTTTTTGAAGAAACAATGTTATGCATGTTCGGTGCTAGTAGTTTGAGATAAATTGGTTTTCGATGTTGCAATTTTACCTGATTTCCGACGCGCCAATGCATCACTACGATTAATACTAAATTATACGTGTTTATATTATAAATTTAAATGATAAATTTACATCGATTCATCCGAAAGAGGCAACTGTAATATGAATATCCATGCGATGACTCTTTTTTCGCGCTCGATAAATTACCAACGGAAAATATTCACACACGAAAGCGTGAACCGATTTAAATCATTGGATTTTAATGTGGATGGCAGAACACATTTTTATTATGGAATGTTACAAATGCGATGCAAAATGGTCATGGACTATTTATGCTGGACATGATTTACACTCAAAGCAAGCGCTAACCCATGTTTGGGACTGAAACTGATAAAATCTAGTCAAAAATCGCAAAAAAGGCGTTAAAAACTATGTGCTTCATTCAAAATTATGCGATTTCAAGGAAAGTCCTTGATAATTTTCGAAAAATATCATGATTTCTTAGAAAATTCGAACATTTGATGTGTAAATTCACCTAACACACATGTGACATGGACAATTTGTCATCGTGTCTCCGTCTGTCCAAGAAAAAACCATATCAAACACGTTTCAAAGGGAATGGCTTACTTTTTTCGAGCCCTTTTTCGGACAAACGGACCAAATTGCTACTTTTTTCGGACATTTTTTCCACCTTTGATTAAAATTCTTGGAACTTTGGTCGAATATCTTCGTCTTAATCCGTGAAATTCACGGAATACTACATTTTCGCTACTTCAATCAAAACGGATCCCGATTTCGATCAAAAATTGAAAGGTGAAACGGGATCTCTATAAAGTGGACCTATCATCGTGGATGCATGAATAATGATTTTCTTTCGTTCATCCGAAGAAAAGCATCAAATTGCTCTTGATCCAATTCTCAAAGTTGTGCTCCACAAATTGGTCATTCTTTGTCTGACCGATGCCAAAGAAAATGTGCAAATAATGTACCTTTCTTTTATAACTGCATTGAAAGCGAAAATATTTGCCCATAAACCGTCCATTCAAAGAGTGAACATTATATCGTAGTTGTCGACTCTCTCGTTCTCTCTTGTTCCAGCTAAAAATGTATCCGTTGATGTTTAATATGGGGTTGGATAATGGCATTTTGGGTTGCAAACATGCATAAACATGAAGCGACAATATTTGTGAACACAATTATATTCTATGTGATTAGGAAAATGCTTGTTTAATTAAATTCGAATTTACAAGTATGTGGCACGAAATGGCATCAGCTCTGAAAATGTTGTATTGCTGACGCAAAATGTGTACGTATTTTGACTGTAGAGAATGAGTGCTTAATTTCGAGAGTGAGTGGTAATTTTTCGGCGTGCGGCTGGCAATTCAAAATGTGTGCAGATTTTTGCATATAATGCAATTGTTTTGGCGGAATCACGGCGGTGACAAAGCAAACCTCATCAACTCTCAGGGACTGCAATCGTGTGTATATGTGTTTGTTGATTCGGCCAAATTAAAACACTTGCACGGCTAAAATGATACGAAATTGTGATACGTAATACTGCATTGCGCTATTCAATTGTCATAATTTTCGAGAGCTGTGTTTTTGTTTTGCAAAATAATCACATTTTGTCCATTGTTTTGAGAGGCTGAGAGAGGGAGAGGGAGAGAGAGTGATAAAGAGAGAGAGGGAATTAGAGAGTGAAAAAAGGGAGATTGGGACCGAGAGGCAGAAAGAGATAGAGAATTAGAGAATAGAGTCTTTGTGGTGCTCGAATGGATTTCGATTGTGGCGAAACGATAAATTCATGCACACAACAATGAATGTGTATGCAAAATGGCATTTTGTATGGTCGCAGCAGATTACTGCTGCTGCTCACGTTAAATTTATCGTTTTATTTATGTTCGCTTACAGTTTTCTTCACCTTAACTCGAATACTTACGCACACTGCTATCTTTGTGAAGCGAGAAAGAGTGAGATAGAGAAATGCCATTCCAACATTGAGATATTTATTAAAAACACATTTTCCACTCTGCCATCGGCTTCTATTCATAAAGACTCCAACTACAGACGGAGAGAATGTGCAATTTTGCAGTAAACATGCTCTTTTATCGCCAATTGCTATGATATTTCGATATTCTTTGCTGCAATTATTTTAATGAATGCGATGATATTAAGACACGCATCACATACTGCAATTTCGCCCAGGAGCAGGAGGACTTTTATCTCGTCTCATTGCAGACAAGCCATCAATTCTGATAAAACTGTCTTTTCGAGTTTATTGTGTCGGTAAGTTCGGTGCCATTTTCGGTCGACGACAACAAACGATTGCCACAAATCCATTTGTGAATACCTCAGCAATGCTCGACATCACAATTGTTGATCAAAGAGAATGTAATTAAAAGATGCCATTAGCACACCATTCAATGTAGAATTCAACATTTTTGGACAACATTCTCGTTCACAAATCGCTTAACAACTCTGTGATCAATGCACAATACAATCAGCTTTTGTACCGAATTTTAAATCAAACGTATTTAATTGCCATTTCACACTTACGAAGAATCGTACGTAAGGAAATGTGTGCATATTTCGGTAGATATTCGAATCGTTTATCGACTATTGACCCCAATTTTCATTTTGTCATCGTGGAAATCACACAGAATGAAAGGGTTACCAGCATTCAAATCGAACTGAACAAATGAAGCACGCATTCAAGATGTACATAGAATCAATCGACTGGGGGGTTGTGACAAAATGTTTTTTTTATTAGAGGGATTTTGTGAATTAGCTCAGAGTGGATTTATTCATATTTGAGATACAGCGGATACAGTCTGACGTATCTTTTGCATTCAAAATACAGTTTGCTTTTTGAAATCACTCTTTCTCTTTATCGCTCCTTTTCTCTCCTCTCTCTGTCTCCCTTTCTCTTTGAACTCTCTATCTCTACACCTCTCTCTCTCTCTTAATCTCTCTTTCTCTCTCTTTCTCTCTCTCTCTGTGTGTCTTGTTCATTTTTTTTCTGTTCTGTTGCTCTGTCTCTCATTCTCCCTTTAAATTATCACAATCTCAAACTACGTCAATACAAAATTCATTGCTCAATTTCGCTTAATGAATGTTGTTCATGTTTTTAGCGAATAACTTAGATAAACTGAGTCAGACTCAGATAATAACGATAAGCGTCATCATTTTTGAACTAAACTCAAATAATCGCTTTTTGAGTCATTATGTCCAGTAAATACCATTTGATATCAAATTCCTTGTATTTTGTTATAACCATAAGTAGAATTATTTCAAGCAAATTTTTTCATTTATAATTTTTTATAAAAAAACTCGTCGTACAATTCGATTAGTTCGTTGTACCCCTGTTTAGTCACATATGACTCAAATTCAACTCCCATTTTTTCATCTGTAAGGCTCAGCGACGTCTCTTGGTTTTATGCAATATTTGGTTTAAGAAAGTCTCTTTTCATATTCACACACTGTTTGCGCACACATAATTTCGTTTTCACGATGATAAATTCGGGTCTTTTTGCATTGTTTTCAATGTTATTGGTTAACGCCGAATATAATTCCCAAGAAGAGTGTAATTTCAATCGTTCGCTTCTTGTTTACAATTGCATAGACGATCGATCATACCTTTCCAGTGAAAATTGTTTAAATTCAAATGAACTGACAAAATCAAATGTGAAAAATATTACATATAAGTGTGAGAATGCAATACCATTGCTAGTACTTTATCCGGTTGAATTGAGCACTTTTCCAAATTTGAATGTAATTGATGTACAATCGCTTGGAATCGAAGCTTTGTCATTTGGATCGGATACAACTAATTTTGGAAATTCCAACTTCGAAATAAATGTGACCACCTTGGATGCTTCGAACAATCATTTTAAGGAAGTTCCAAGTGGGATCTTAGACTACATGCCGGAAATAAGCCACATTGATTTTTCGTACAATGGCATCACTCGCTTGAAATCAGATGATTTCAAACGACATAATGGAATTTCAAATCTAAAATTCGGGCATAATAACATTCGTATAATTGAAGATGGAGCCTTTCGGATGCTGCAGCTCCTGGAAGATTTGGATCTCAGTGATAATCCGATCAGCGAGATTGGTGATCGTCTCTTCGCAAACAATCCAAAAATGCGATGGTTGAACTTGAGAAACTCACTGATCAAACGATTCAATTTCAATACATTTTCACCCGGTGCCAAGTCAGTGACGGTGCAGTTTCCATCGGAAAATATTCAACAGTTGGACATAAGTTGTGAGCGGTCGATTTGCCATTTTGAAGACTTCGACAAAGATGAGTTCTTTGGGGATATTCGTGTTTTGAATGCATCGGGGAATCGAAATGCATTGAAAGCTTTGGTAAAATTAAGTTCGAAACTGGATACGTTGGATTTATCCATGACTTCTATGGGGACAATCGATGTTAAGATGTTGCAACGCTTTCCGTATTTACAATATCTTAAATTGAACAACGCGAACATCTCCAACATTGAAATTGATGCATTTTCCAATCAATGGAATTTGAAAACATTAGATCTTTCGTACAACAATTTGAAAAATATCAATTCCTCCATTTACTTTTTCGAAGACTTGGAAGTGCTCAATTTAGAAGGCAATCGATTAACTAACATTGATACGATAATACCAACTTATTTCAAAAAACTAAAATCGCTGACATTTGCCAAAAATCAATTTTCGTGTGAGTACGTGGAAGCATTCTTGAAAAAATGGGAAAAGAGAGTGAAAAAGAAGCCCGATGGAACCCAAATTGAAGCATATGATTGCGTAGATATAAACAGTGCAACTGTAGAGCCCGAGAAAACAGTTAATAGAGAAATAACACCGCTTCAGGAAGAGACAGCAACGTCGACTTCAGATGTAGTGTTTTTGGAAACAGCAACAAGTGATATGAATCGAAATACAACTGAACTCGCAAGAGTTACGAGTACACCTCCAACAATTACATCCATTCAACCAACACAAAAATCAAACATTTCAACCAGGAGTGAAAAATCGCTTGACAATCTAAATTCGGAGAAAATCACAAAAAATCCATTTGACCAACTGCCAATGTGGGTGATTTTGATGATCGTTGCATTTTTGATCATTATCGCGCTTTTGTTATGCATTATTTGCGTCATGATTGTAAGGCTTCAATCGAAAACAGGTGGCAATGTAGTTGAAGTGGAACTTACGCGTGAAGATACAGAGAAAACTGAAGTTCCGATAAATTATTACGAGCAAGTCAAAAGCAAAGTTCAAGAAAACGAATACGTCACTATTGCGGAGAATGAGTATGTATTTATGACACCTATATGCCAACAACGATATATACCAATGGCACCACTACGCAATCGTCACAACGATCTTCCACAATGTTGAATCAACATTGTTGATATTAAGATTTATGTAAACTTTGTTTGATTTGGTTAAGTTTTATGAAGTAATAAAGTATGAACAAAATCTTTGAGAAACTAGTTTATTCTTACAAATAAAATAAAAAGGCACACGAAATGGTTGAAAAATGATCAAAAAATGTATGGATGTGGGTGGGTACTCCATTCGGACCAAAAATAAAGAGTCTTACAGGAGTAAGACGAACTTTTCTTCACGGTTGTAGTTGCGTATTTTATTAAGCAAGTTCAAAATAATATTTGTTCGATTTTTCAAGCCTTTCAAGCGACGTAAAGTTTGAGACCAAAAAATATGTTCAAACTTTGGCATCCAAATATTCTTTAATTTAATAGCAGAAGTACTCGTAAAAGATTTTTCACACTTTCATGATGAACTCATTTGTATGACAATGAAAATTCTGTATGGGAGGTACCCCCAATTATGATTGAAATTTTTTCAAACTTTTAGAATGGTATATTTTTGTGTAAAAATTAGTCTGTGCAGTTTCACGTCATTAAGATAGCATACAGGCATGGCTCTCATATGAAAATTTACATTTTTGTGATTTTTTCACGGAAACTGTATCAAAAATTGATTGTATCTCAAAACTAACCTCGGATTCGGTTTTCTCGTGCCAAAAAACCCGTCAATACATATTTTTTAGTGTTTAAGTCTACATTAAGTATGACTTTTGGACGAAAATTGGACTCTTTCTCATAGGCATGACATTTTTTTCCATCAACCAAAGTCGCTCAAAATCTAATGATTTCTATTCCTCGCGACCCCCAATCATCCTGTAAAGTCAGATTTTGAATTAAGTTTCTACGATGAAGCGCAATCTTGCTAACAAATTTTGCGTACGACGTACAACGGTACAGATTAACAGAAACCATGTTTAAAAACGCCAAATTCGTGTTCTCTGATCTCAATAATAGGTAGAAAACATGTTTCTGAAGTTTTCAAAATTTTGACCGATTATAATACTTTTCACCTTACACTATGTGTGCGGAAAAGTAACACATTAAAATGGTGTAAATGAATAACAATATCAATGGTCATCATTACCGCGCACATTTTTTCTACTCCAAAAAAGATAAGGCGCACACGAAATATTCTAATCAATATTATGTATTTGGACCAAAAATTCGTTTATTTTCACAGCAAAAAAAAAGATATACCAAAATACAATGAATAATCTTCTTTTAAAGACCACATCCGCTGTAAATAATTAATTCCGATCTTAAATGTGGCAGATCAAAGCGTTGAATTGTGGTTCAAATTACAGATTAAATTTTTTTTGAATTGGCCGCATTTTTCTGTGGCTAGACACGTATGACAGTTAACTGACATATCAAACGTCATATGTAATGATAATACATTTTAAGTTTAATAAAAAGCTTCTCGTTTATATACTCGACCTAACCAGACGTGTTTTATTGTAGCTCTTTGAATAAAATTCTCAGTTTACAGTCAGAAGTTTTTTATTGCAACATATTTCTATTCAAAAGAAAAATTTAAAGTCCATAAGCTGTGTATAAATTAGAGACATCATTTCAATTATTGTTTTGATTGAACGATTGATACGGTAAGAACTTGTTTTGGTACATTCTGTGTATGTCATAGATTTCAAATTGTACTTACACGCTATTTTCTGTATGCATTATTTTTAATTCATAGGCTTCTGCTGATGTTTTTCAAATAAATCGGAACCGTTCAAATGCCTGATAACTACATTCAAAACCGTTCAAAACAATTCATGGTATTCACATTTAAAAGGAGCTTTGGTCAGTTTAGAGCTTAGTCCATCCAAAGCTGAGATTTAATAACCGATTCTTTGAGACCCTTTTTTATTATTTCTCATTAAAGAGTAGGCCTTCCCAACGTCTCATCTAACGACCTTTTCTATTGGTTCATGTAATTTAGCAGTAGAGCAATTTGGTGACGGAATTGTCAAATTAGTTTTTAAAGTTCTCATAAGTTAAAAGTTCTTAACTACAGTTAGTTCGTATTCATCCTTCGACTCGATCAGTCCAGTTACGGATTTTTTTCAATTCAAGTATAATTCAAAAAAATTGTGTAGAAGTCTTTTTAACCCTCTAGAACCACCTCAAAGTAATACATAACCCTTCATTAATAAAAAAACTAAACAAAAATGGATTCAGTAAACACAAAGCAAGTTGCTCATATTGTAGCACAAGTTCGTGCAAAGCAATTGGCAACAAAATCTATCCAAGATAACATGTCACAAATTATCGTTCAATACCACGAAGATCATCCGGATGTTTCTGATAGGGAATTAGCACAACAATTCTTACAAAATATTTCTACCGACCATTCTACCAGTGTATCAATAAACAATTACTTAAACGGTCAGGATATAAATCTGATAGGATATCCTATAAAATTTAACAAAACTCATTTGCAACTCAATATGGCCAAAGAATGGATTGCAGAACAGAAAGAGAGTTTAATAACACAAATAATTGCTGGTAAATTCTATCATAAATTATCGAATGAGATTCGTTCTGCTGAACTGCCAGTTTTACAATCACCCAGTACTACTCAATTTTGGGGTAACGAAAATCCATCAGTTAGTTCAATATTACTTGCTGATATTGTTGCCAGCTGTAATAAAAAGCAAGATAATTTATCCGGAGCTGCAACATGCTTCCCTTTTTTTAGTAGCAACTATGAATTACCAGACAGTTTTGTTTCTGCTTCCTATTCTTTTGCTAGCAAAAACGGCATGACACTTTTTGGTGATTATCAATATGGTGGCCAGCGTTATTTTGATAAGCAATTTGTATTCGGCCCCGAAGACTGTTCCACCGCAGTTGGTAAAGCCACTTATCTGCGTACCGATCAAATTAAAAGTATAGAAACTAGTAGTATGCAAGCGGCATATTTTAATCGTGACAATCAGTACCACTATCAAGGTGTAACCTTTCTAAGCGGTGACATTCAAGATAACCAGTTGAAATTGATTCAGGAAGGTGATATTTATCTTATAAAAGGACATACAGCAATCATTGCCACTAAGCCTGATAATAGAAGTAAAATTACTACCATACAATTTAGCAGAGATATTGATTCGGCTGAAAATAATACATTAGGTGGTGGTACATATGATTATAGTTTATGTGATGTTGCTCGAAAAATAAAAAGTGGTATTTATATTTTACGCTCCACAGATTTAGAGCCACTACATGAATCTTGTTCTTTAAGCCAATTACTCAGTCGCATAGACTCTAAATATGCAACTCTTTTTTCTAAAGGGCCTTTGAATATTGCAGGAGATTGTAGAATGTTCTTAGAAGACAACGCAATTTCCACAGCAGGAGAATTTCATAGTGGTTCTAGTTTGTGAATATTATATGTTCGAATTTTTTTTATCTTTATGGTCTTAATTGTAATTTTAATGCCCAAAAATGGAAATGACTTCAGTTGTTTATCGCTTTGGTTTCTCATCGCAAATTTCAATGACATTACAAGTCTGTCCATAGATGGTGTTGAGAATTGAATTTAAAGCACTTCGTTTAAAAATAAATGCATCGAGTTTATGCGCGTGACTTAATAATGTCATTCATAAAGAGAGTCAGTGGAATACAATTTTATCAGTTAGTCATGTATTAACTAGTAAATAATATGCTGAAACTCATATCTAACCGATTAAAAGTGGCAAAGCAAAATGAAGAGCGCATAATAAATTTTATATATAGAATTCAGTTTAAGCAAAAACATACGACCAGATTAAAAATATCAGTTAGTTTCATAAAGTCGCTTGAAATATTTACATTAAATAGTTTAAAATCGTTTCCAATATGAAACATTTGAATATATTCGCATTAAGTTTAATATTAATGGTCAAAGCTGATCCAACATTCCTTAGAAAATGTTATTTCAACCAAGGTGATGCCACGTATTTAGTAAACCATTGCAAATTTGATCGATTATATCCACAAAGAGAAAATTGTTTAAAATCACATGATGTGGAAAATTCAAATGTGAAGTTTATCAAATATGAGTGTCAAACTGCAATATTATCTCTCATACTTTATCCAGTTGAATTGAGCACTTTTCCAAATTTGAATGTGATTGATATACAATCGCTTGGAATCGAAGCTTTGTCATTTGGATCGGGTACAACTAATTTTGGAAATTCAAACTTGGAAATAAATGTGACCACCTTGGATGCTTCGAACAATCATTTTAAGGAAGTTCCAAATGGGATCTTAGACTACATGCCGAAAATAAGCCACATTGATTTTTCGTACAATGGCATCACTCGCTTGAAATCAGATGATTTCAAACGATATAATGGAATTTCAAATCTAAAATTCGGGCATAATAACATTCGTATAATTGAAGATGGAGCCTTTCGGATGCTGCAGCTCCTGGAAGATTTGGATCTCAGTGATAATCCGATCAGCGAGATTGGTGATCGTCTCTTCGCAAACAATCCAAAAATGCGATGGTTGAACTTGAGAAACTCACTGATCAAACGATTCAATTTCAATACATTTTCACCCGGTGCCAAGTCAGTGACGGTGCAGTTTCCATCGGAAAATATTCAACAGTTGGACATAAGTTGTGAGCGGTCGATTTGCCATTTTGAAGACTTTGACAAAAATGAGTTCTTTGGGGATATTCGTGTTTTGAATGCATCGGGGAATCGAAATGCATTGAAAGCTTTGGTAAAATTAAGTTCGAAACTGGATACGTTGGATTTATCCATGACTTCTATTGGGACAATCGATGTTAAGATGTTGCAACGCTTTCCGTATTTACAAAACCTTAAACTGAACGACGCGAACATCTCTACTATTCAAAATAATGCATTTGCCAAACAAAGATATTTGAAATTTCTCGATCTTTCGTTCAACAATTTGACAAACATTGATTCTTCGATCTATTTTTTTCAATACTTGGAAGAGCTTAATTTAGAAGGCAATCGATTAACTAACATCGATACGATTACGTCAACTTATTTTCCGAAACTGAAATCGTTTACGTTTGGCAAGAATAAATTTACGTGTGAGTACGTGGCGGGATTTTTGAAAAAGTGGGAAAAGATAACTGGAAAGGCTCCGGGACCGGATGGAATTGTATTTAAAGGAATTGACTGCATTTCAGAACCCAACAAAATTGCTATTGCAGAAGTAATAACAATGCAAGTACCGACTCAAGCACCGACATCAACCTCAACTCAAACCACAGTTTTTCTACAAACAACGAAAAATATTAGAAACGAAATTTTGAGCACTGCAAGTGCAACTAAAGCAACAATTCCAACTTCGCGTCCTACAACTATTAGTCCTAGAAATAATAATGACCCAACAAAATCCTTAACAAAACCCACTAAAAAGTCAACAGTGGCAACCACGTCCATTCCAGTTACGAAGACCTCTTTAAAACCATATTCGAATTTACATTCTCCGACCACACCAATCTCAAAAGGGTTACAGCAAAATGAAGAATATTCAAAGTTTCCGTTTACATTGATCCTTGTTAGCTTTGTAGTTGTTGTCGGTATGATATCGATTATATTTTCAATTTCATTTTATATTTGTATTCGAAAGCAAAATAGTAAAACGGCCACAAGTTCGGTGGAAGCCAGTGAAATGACCTATTTCGAACCAGTCTACGAAGAAATTAACGATAAAGATATCGATTTGCAGAGCCCGTATGCGGTTGGTGCAATCACTGAATGTCCACCCTATGAAAACTTCCCAAAATCATTTACAGTCAATCGCTATCAGTATAGCAACAATTGGAAGTCACCGACTTATCATCATTATGCCACCGTTCACAAACCGAAACTTTATAAATGAATTAGTCGATAGAGATAAGGGATATTTGTTAATATGATTTTAATTAAATTTTATTGTAAAACACTCATAGTAATCTATATCTATAAAACCAAATTATAAATAAAATGAAAAAATTGATTAAAAAAAAAAAAAAAAAAAAAAAATCCAAAGTTAGATTTATATATCTTCTTGAAGGTCTGCCTTTTGAGAGTCAACAAGTCTTCGGTGATTTTGCATTTAAAACGATTAAAGGTTTTTCGTTTCAAATTTTACGTCAAACAGCTTCTTTTATCAAACTCCAGCTTTTTTCATCATCTTTAACTCGGAATATCGAAAATAAGGAGACAAACAGCAGTGAGACCGATTATTCGATACAATTCAGGTAAAAATCACCAAACATGTGAATTTTTGTATCCAGGAGCCATGCCAGTATGATATCATGGTGACGTGAAACTTTGCATCGGCTATTTTCCTAACAAAAAAATAACATTCTGAAAGTTTTAAGAAATTCCAGTGCAAATTAGTGCGGTACATCCCATTCAAAATTTTCGTTTTTAAACTGACACCCTTTAGTTCAAAATTTTTTTTTTTTTCAAAGTATGACTTACTACGAAGTTTGTAGTACGAACTTATCTTTCATTGAAAATGATTTAATAAATAAACTTGTTTTCGCTAACAACAATTTGAAATAATTTTTGTTTACTACTTTGGATATGATTATAAAAAAAAGTTGCTTTAAAAATACAGTAGGAGAGAATGTCAAACATGGAAACAAAGAAATGCAAAAACGGCGTACTTTCTGAGTCATGATTCACTCTGCATAATCAATCTTTGAATAAGCGATACTGTAAGTATAAATCATCGTTTACTGTTGTAAGTCTAAATGTCATGTTCAGTTTACTTACGTATTGAAACTGCAATGACGTACATTATACTCAATTTCGTTCTTTTGTTAGTATTCTCCAGTGAAATTCATAGTTTGGCATGGTTTAGTGACTGTTTTTCCGCTCACAACGATCACAATTCAATCGAATTGAATTGTGTAACAAATGAGCATAGCACTTGTTCATACGGAACGAATGGACATATCAAAAATGGAACGTTATCTACCGTGACATTGGTCAAATACAGATGCGATGAACAAATGAATACAACAGAGTTTGATGCAAATGTTCTGAATCAGTTCATAAATTTGCAAGGCGTAGATGTGTCGTCTCTTGGACTAAAAGATGTGCTTTTTCGACCCATCGAAAGCCACAAATTAGGAATAACCATTTTTTACGCGTCCAACAATCAGTTTGATAAGGTTCCAACATTGGTATTTAATTACATGCCAAATCTCACTGCGATCGATTTATCGTTCAACCAGATCAAATCATTGTACCCGGCACATTTCAGCGGAGCGAGTAAACTATCAACTTTAAACTGTTCACATAATCGCATCTACGTTTATGGACTCGAAGTCTTTTCATCGCTTCCCGATCTAGAAATTTTAGATTTGAGCCATAATCAAATCAATGCAATTAAACCAGGCTTGTTTTCGAAAAACGAAAAATTGACAATTTTGAACCTGAAATATAATCCCTTCAAAAGTTTTGATTTCAATATATTTTCATCGGCTGTGAAGTTCGTTGAGGTGTACCTTCACGATTCCGACATTGATACACTAGATATCAGTTGCAAAAATGCAATTTGTCACTTCGAAGACTTTGAAACAGGTGTGGTTTTCAAAAATGTTCAATTTTTCAATGCATCAGGAAATCATTTTAATGACCTCCACGCCATTCTCCTGGCATTGAGCGACCGGGTCAAAGTAATGGATTTATCGTGGAATTTCGTCGGAGAACTTACCATTGAACTTTTGGCAGATTTCGCTGACCTTGAACACTTGAATTTAACCCATACCAATATTCACCACATTGAAGACGCCGCCTTTTTTCACCAAAAGAACCTTTATTCGCTTGAACTTTCTTACAATGATTTGACAGAAGTGAATTTCATATTGCCAAAGGTATTGGAAACACTGAATTTGGAAGGCAATAAATTGAGTACAATCAATAAGGTTACTCCGAAACATCTTCCAAATCTTGCGACGTTGGCGATTTCCAAAAATCAAATTGAATGCACCGAACTTCAGCGGTTTTTGAATCAATGGAAAAATTCGAGTTGTAATTTTATAAATCGATCGACACAGACAATTAATATTCAAGGCATAGAGTGTCAGAATGGAAATTTTTCAAAATTATTCCTCTTAACTGGCTTATTTTTTATTGTTGTTGTATTAATTGTAGTGGTGGTGAGTCATCGATGCCGTGTGGTACCAAAAACTCAAACTCTATCACTTCAGACTCCAAATCCATTTGTTGAAAATGGAATGGAACGGTTCAACCAAGTGCCATTCAACAGAGAGCCTGATTATGAGGAGATAGATACACCAGGTCCATTGGTTGGGCTCTCATATAGTTTACCGAGAGATGTGATTATGCACGAAAATAGGATATCAACGTATTTGTACACCCAGCCATATCAGGCATATGCTACCGTCAAGAAAATATAGAAATAACCACCATTACTCATCGTCAATGAATATCGATCCAATTGAATACTCTTGTTGTACTTAAGTTTTTGTTTCACTTTACAATGTCACTTTTTCGATTGATAGAGTAATTTTTTGTTAATAAAAAATAAATTCGTAATTAAAGTGGTTTTTTTGAAAGTCTTTTAATATCACAAGATGAACTTCAAAATTTTACTTTTTCCCTAGTAGTATTGCAGTAAATTAGTATTTGACTTTTAACTTGTGCATTGAAACTAAACATATAAGTCTTCCGCAGTAGACCTTCTTTAATGCAAGTCTTGATAGGTCCAAAGTGACAATTTTTCATAATGTTTTTTTAATAATCTGAATTTCATGGAACTAAAGAGTTCGAAGCGTAGGTTTAAATGAATCAGTGAATAGATTGAGCTACAGCTATATCAGTGCTATTTTCACAGCTCCAACTTATAGGCGCTAATTGCGACTTTTAGATACAATTCCGAACGAAATGTTCAAAATGTAAATAGAACAATAGACTTATTGATTTTAGTATTTTTTTGCATAAACAAATCAATAGGTCTATTGTCCGGAATTGTATCATAAAATCGCTTTCCGTATGCGTTGTTCACATATAGCACCTATGAATAGGAGCTGTGAAAATAGCACTGCTATAGCTGTAGCCCAATCTATTCACTGAAATGAATCCCCTCTGGAAAAGTTAGATGACAACATTTACTAGCGAAGACAGAATTGTATTTGGAGGCCTTTTTTCGCTCTTAATTATTTTCCGGAGTGTTACAGAGTCACAGTTTAAACTAGATAGAAAAGAAGCCCGAAAAATAACGTTCCCTGGAATCTCCTCCCACTTTTTGGTACTAGTCAAAGGACGCAACGTACTTCGACCCGAACTCTCGACCTATGACCGGGTCATATTCGGGAATAGTTTGGGTCGGATCATCCGACTCGGATGCTTCTCAGGCCGGAAAAACTCTCCAGAGAGTTTTTTTTAATTTTTCTGGTGTTTAGGGTCAGACCTCGGGAATCGGACAGATGTTTTCGCCGGTCTGCGACCACTGGTTTCGAATTATCATTGTTTTTGGTATGCAGGGCATGGCATTTGATCGTCATCACTGATCTAATCCAGCCCATTTAGTCCCAGAGTACCACTTCGGCTTAATACTTACAGCAAAGCCTAATTAATTGCTGCTGCTCAGCCTTTGATTTAGAGCTGAGTTTTTCTGAACTCGTATGTTACCGTTGCATTTTATGCATGAGTGAAACAGCAGCGGCAATAGCTTCAACGGCAGCACATATGAAGAAAAAAGGGAATATGAATCGTTTTTTGCACAGTGTAGCCGTATGCGTGAGCCGTACGAGTTCAGCAAAACTCAGATCTCAGTCATAGGCTGAGCAGCAGCAAATAATTAGGTTTTGACTTACAGTTTCACAATGACAAATTTCTTATAACAAAAATGGCTGAAAATGTATGTAATACAAGTTTCAGCGATATTGCTGCCGCAAACATGTCTTCACGAAATACATAGTATTATCATAGTATTTTTTAAATCAGTTCATTTTATATTTATTTCAAAAGAGCGTTATCGTCAGAGAACGAACGCAATTAAATTATGTATACTAATGAGCATTAATATGGTGTTTATCTTTTGATAAGAAGTTGTTATTCACCCCATTTCCTGCTTCATTAATTCAAAACATTGGATATATCACAAACTATTGTTTTGTATTGCTGGAGTAAATTAGTTTGTATTAATTCTCGGAATAAAGAGAATCATTTTGAAGTTGAATCGTATTTGTTTACTCTCAACGAAGCAATGAAGTTCAAGATTGGATTTTTTTTACTTTACTTAATAAATCAAGTCACCGTTGGTGACGCACGATCAATGAAATTGAATTACAATGATTGTCACTTTATCAATGGTTCGACCATATCGGTTGTATTAGTTTGTGAAAATGTGATAGTGAATCATTCATCAACCTCTTGTTATTCGATGTTTATGAATTCGTCTGTGGTCGGTATAAATCGTCCCAACGTGGATATCTTAAAATTCAATGGCTGTGACGATAGCTCAAAAATCGTTAATATCGGATCAAGTTTTATACATCGATTTCCAAAGCTTCGTATCATCAATTTGTCAAACGACATGATAAACACTCTTCAATTTCAATATGTGAAAAATACTGAAAGCATGACCGTTCAAACATTCAATGCATCGAAAAATAGTTTGAGTACAATGCCGGATTCGATGTTTAGGTGCATGCCAAAGTTAACAAAAATCGACTTTTCACGCAATAAAATCAAGAACATTGGTTCAACAGTATTCGATGGCGGTGCGGAATTAACGGAATTAAATTTGTCCAATAACATTCTGACGAATTTGAAACGCGACACATTTTCGGCACTCATCAATTTGGAAAAGTTGGACCTTAGCACAAATCGAATTCAACGCATTGACAACGGATTTTTTGTGAACAATCCGAAGTTGAAGCACTTGATTTTGAAAGAAAACCCAGTGAAACGATTTGATTTTAATGCATTTACCGCTGCAGTGAAATCGGTCATCGAATTGAAAGTTGAATGGAATGAAGTTGAATTGATTGATATCAGTTGTCCACAGTCTGAATATCACATGGTCAACTTTGATGAAGGCGCAACATTTGAAAATCTTCGATTTTTCAACGCATCCGGTTATCCATATACTTCTGGACTTCTGAACAAAGTCGGTTTGAACTTGGAAACATTGGATTTATCATGGAATCTCCTTCGACAATTAAATGTACTTGAACGTTTTACGAATTTACAAAATCTCTACTTGAGCCATATGAAAATGACCAAGCTTGGATCCGTCGCATTTACAACGCAATTAAAATCACTGGATTTGTCATACAACAACTTGACGGATGTTGATTTGGCGATATTTTCACGGAAGTTTTATCACTTGAAAACATTGAGCTTAGAAGGCAATCGATTGCATGAACTCAACAATGTATCTCCGTTTGATTTCCCAAATCTTGAAACACTCGCAATTTCAAAGAATCAATTTTCGTGTAAATTTTTGAACAATTATTTAAATCAATGGAAGAATAAACGGGAAATAGCATTGATTGGCAATCCATCGTCGTATCAATTTAATATTGAAGGAATTGACTGCTATTTGCAGGCGGAAGACGATAACAAATTGCAAAAGGCTGAATGCACCATGATCGACACGATGCCAATGTGGGTGTACTTTGTTGTAGCGATTTTATTCGTCATGATTTTATTGGAATTTATGGCCATCACAATTATGTGCTGCAAATCGCATCGAAAAATTGTCCGCATTTCCGAAGAAATTCCCGAATTCAAGCCAGAAGCAAAGAATTTCGAAAATATATCCTTCAAAGGTGAAACGGCACATGAGAATTTGTACGAAGAAATACCATTGCAATGCGTTCATCAATTGACCTATGACATTCCGCAGTGTTTGACACTTAAGAAATCTTTTATGTAGAAAGGAAAAGAAAAAGAATAAAGAGACAGATAAAACGAGGGGGAAGAAGGGAGGAAGAGAGGTAGATAGAGGGCGGTAGAAAGATGGTGTAGAGAGAAAAGAGATGTTTAAACGTTCAATCTATTTAATAAAATAATTCAAACATTATTCATGTATCCGAATCAAATTACATTGATAATAAATCAGACATTGGCTAAAACTCACTAAAGCATTTGTTTTTCTAATTGAACAGAATCATAGGACAAGTATAGTTGTCAGACATTGAATGGCGCTGTATCTATCCTATAAACATCGAACTAACAAAAATGTGTGGTGGTTCATGCCTTATTTAATATACAATAGTGGAAATTTATCCAATTCACAAACCATTTCTTCTAGTTCCTCTTACATTGGTGTAAGGGGATTCTTCTAAAGTTCAGAGAATGACGTTTGCATATAAATACATGTAAAAGACACTTTTAGGCTCGTCCTATGAACAGAATTAAACTCCATAAATGTGGCATGAACTTTGCATTTCGAAAATAGACTTGAAATGTGTATCCGAGCTACTGGGTATACGCATAATGCTTCATTTGCTGGCGCTTAAACTTTTTTCCCAGGATTTTCGATATAAAATTGAAACTACGAATTGTAGTCATGTAGAGTTAAAAAAAGATTTTTTCTGCGAAATCATAGTGAATCAGAGGTGAGATAAGTACATTTATTTAGGAATATAAACTCATTTTCGTTCAGACTTTTTTTTCATTCGATAAAAAAGTGTTTTGATAACAAAAATCAAAGCAAGTGTTTAAAACTATTTTATGGATATTTTGAAACAAGCTTGATGACAAATACCATGTAACGAAAATGCTCCAAATAAGTACAAAAATAAGAAATGAGCTCCAAATCAGTACAATTGATAGGAAGCCAAAAAAAAAATATAAAAAAGTCTTGAAAAAACGAAAGAGAGTAGGGCATAATTTACGCATTTTAAAACTCAAAGTCTGAATATTTCGATATCAAACCAGACAGAATCAACGTATTTTGAATCAACATTCATGAATCATGCCTGTTTTCAACTTATTTTTTATCACAGTTGTTACTGAATTGCCATAGCCTCGATTAGTTTCATAACTAAACCAGCAAGGTTCGGTGTCAATTTTAAACTCGCAAAATGAATCGCGTCTTGATAATTTTGTCCGTATTTTGTCTACATAACAAAGCATACGGTCTTGATCAATGTTGTTTGATGCAACATTTTGTAAAATCGGTGGAATTTGCTAATTACGTCAACAAATCGATGTGCGAAAACGATTTCGATAAGTCGACTGTGGAAAGTATTCGTTATGCATGTAAAGAGTCTGAAAATGAATTGCCGTCTAATGAGTTTCAACTGACATTCAAATCGGCGATTTTTAGCAATTTTCCCCATTTGCGGGCAATTAATGTGTCTGCTCTTAAAATAGAATCATTCAATTTTGAATGGCGGGAAAAGCTGATTTCAAAGTTAAATAAGCGTATAATCATGGACAAAGTTTGGATCAAATCATTTTTTGCATCAAAGAATCGTTTCGTTACGATACCGAATAAGATTTTTATGTATATGCCAAATATAAGTGAAATTGATTTCTCGTTCAATCGGCTGGTTTCACTTGATTCATCTTGCTTTGAAGCACCTGAATTCAATGACACGCAGCGGCTCGCGCTCATACCAGAACTTTTTTCGATAAATTGTTCGCACAACAAAATATCACAGTTGGATCAAGGAGCATTTTCAAATTTGCTGTTGTTGGAGAATTTGGACTTGGGTGATAATGAAATCGAGTATATTGACTACGAAGTTTTCAAGAATAATAAAGCGATACGAGAATTGAGTTTGAAAAATAATCCGTTGAAAAAACTCGATTTCAACGTATTTTCACCGGACGTGAATGTGGTTCAAGTCCACCTTCCAAGTGATATCGAGGAGTTGGATGCAAGTTGCGTGGAGAAAGTATGTCATTTTGCTGATTTTGACGATGAAGCCAACTTTGAAAAGCTGCAGAATTTTAACATTTCGGGCAATCGACGAAAAGATATTTTCAAGTTGATGAAAAAACTCGGATCGAATGTGAAAACATTGGACTTATCTCAGAATTTCGTTGAAGAGCTGACCTTTGGGATGTTGGAAAATTTTACACAACTACATCATCTAAGATTGAGCTACACAAATCTATCCAATCTTATCGATGACACATTTCACTATCAAACGAAGCTAATTACACTCGATCTCTCTCACAATGATTTGAAGCACCTCAATTCAGGGGCACTTTCAAAGAAATTCCGTCATTTGGAATGGCTGAACTTGGAAGGAAATCAATTAACAACTATCGACGACGTAAGTCCAAGCAATTTTCCGAGTCTCAGGATGCTCGCAATTTCGGGAAATCAATTTCATTGTGAATATTTAAAAATATTTGTAAACAAATGGAAAATTGAGAAGAATTTAACGTTTATTCTTAATTTAAACACGAAACGGGTAAAATATATGGGAATTGATTGTTATATTGACGATGAGGACACGGAGTTTGTTGACGTTAACATAAATGAGACTACACATTTCAATTTGAAAATTTATTCTTTGCTCACAACTTCAAGCTTCTCGCAACGTATCTATGCAGTTTCCGGTGTAATTTTATGTATCGCTGTGTTAATTGCTATCATTTCGTTAGTTTATCGAACACGAAGTCCAAAAAAAGTAACGCTATTTACTGCCAACGATCCAACACATTGTCAAATCGCCGAAGTTCTAATCGATAAAATTGACAATGAGTTTGGAAATGATTCAGATTATGAAGACATCGAAATTGATGCATCGAACATTTTTCACCCGGTTCCCATCAATTATCCAAATACTGTGCTGGATGAGAACAGATTTACATCACCACCTTCACAAAATATACCTCTTTATGCATATCGGTCTTAAAACGGAATTTGTTGTGAATTTTAATGTTGAATTTTTTATCGCATTTTATTTAACATTTTATTAACTTTTTACCAAATTTTTCATATAATAAATATTGTGTTTTAATTTCTTTTGGTGTATGTGTCTTTACTTACTCCATGAAATGCTGTAATTTTGGTGTGATTAATCTTTTAAAAATTACTTTTTCCTTGCTCCTTCCTTGACTCATCTTTGATTTAAATTAACAATTTCAGCTTACATACCTGTAACAAAGGAAAGAAAAAACGTGTTTATGAGTATCGATTTAACATTAGGAAGGGGGAAAAATTTAATTCCGACATCAAAACGCACGGAAAAATTGTCATTTTTGGTTTTCGAAAAAGTTTTAACATCAAATAGTTGGTTTTGGGAGGTATGACGAATTTTCATTGAAATTCCTTCAAATTTTGATCTTCAAAACAATGTTTTCATTGAAAATAGACTACTTACAAACGTCACCCAAATAAATATCTGACGAAAACTACCAAATAATCTCCGGAACACCAAACGATATTTTTTTTTTTTGGAAAAAACGCTGCGAATCATTTTTTTGTATCAATCTGAATGGGTTAAATGTCTAGCTTATAATAAAAAAATAAATGTCTTATCACTGCCCACCATACAATGATTTTTGGATAGGATAGATTCGTAAGATCTCCGCAAGATCCGAATCCAAGCGTGCGTACGCTGCCGCATGATGCATACATATATAATACGCACGCAATTCGCCTACATACTTTGATTCGCATGCCATAGCCAACCGGCTAAGCCTATGAAGAGACAAAATGCGAATTCCCCTCATCTGTGCCATCTTGTATTCCATAGTTGAACTCAATTTAGTTACAATGAATTGAATCGAAAAAGAGAAAACAACAACAACAGTAACATGGCTACATAGATCTGTTGACCAGTGAGATACGTATGACAATGGAATGAAAGAATGAAGAAAGCGTATATGTGTAAGTATGCATCAGCACGCATAGATGTACAGCTCTGTGTGGCCGCGCTATTGTTGTTGTTTTTTCTCTTTTTCATTTCAATGCTACAGAATTAAATTCAGTTTTTCGATCTAATTCGAACTAATGTGAGATGGCGCTGATCAGCTGCGTTTGCATAAAAAAGTTCCCAATCTCATATACGTCAATCCCGCTTGGCCATAGCAATACGGAATAACTAATGTATGTATCATGCGACTACGTACGCACGCTTGGATCCGGATCTTGCGGAGATCTTACGAATCTATCCTATCCAAAAATCATTGTATGCTGCACACACATTTCAGAGCAACAGATTTTGTTGTTCTTGTAGTGAAATGTAATTGGTAATTTAGTCATGACTCATGAATAACAAAATCTGACCATTATATTGAAATTGAGATTTTTAATCGGTCTCAGCTATATTTTTTTATTCACAGTCATTTAATCTTATGTTATTGCTATAAATATGGAGATTAAACGCAACAAGTGATCATTCTGTGTGTAAGATATTTTCATATTTTGATTCTCAATTTCATTATAAGAAAGTGTAACAATAGTCTTCGCGTGTGTAACTTGCTTAAATTAAGTTGTCAATAAATCTCTTCATTCCGTTCCAAAATTTGTAAGACACTTTCATCTGAAAATCAAAGGAAAAAATAATCAAGCTTCAAAAATCAAATTTATACATTAGCAACAACGGTCTATGTCAATGCGATAGCTCGAATATTTCAATTAAAAAATATATGCGCAATGACCATTGAACTTGTCTTTCATTTTTTAAATCTTAATCGGCACCAGATTATTTACCTCATTTTAATGTGTTATTCAAATGTTTGCTATACATGGTAAACGGAATAAATGATCATGTTTTATTAACGAACTTTCACACTTTAATTATCAATTTCATGAATTTTATTTTCGTGCCATTCAATTTCCATATTTTGATTATTTTCTCATTCTAACGTTTTTGAATTATGTTATGAGATTTTCAACTGTCTTTGTTCACACAGAAGTAAAATGTGTTATCATTGCTCAGACATTTCGAAGCGATTGGTTTCTGTAGCAAATGTAATTGGTTGTTTTGACGAAAATAAAAAACTCAGACCATTAGATTGAAATTGAGATTTTTAGTCAGCTGCAGCTATATGTTTATGCACAGTCATTCAATCTAATGTTATTGCTATAAATATGGCGGTTACATACTGCAACTTGCAGTCTGCAAGTGATCATTCTCTGTGCAAGTTACTTTCGGTGATTTTACATTTGAATTTCATTATAAGAATTAAGAATAGTGCTTGCGTGTAGTTTGTTTCAATTAACTTGTTAATAAATATCTTCATTCCGATCCAACATTTATAAATTGTTTAATCCAAATAAGATGATGAAATTTTTATTTTTGATCGTTTTTCTCGTCGGTGCGAGTGTACAAGGTAATTTTATGTGAAGACAAAAAATACCAAAACTTCAATCTCCCTAACAACAAATCTGATATGAATTATGTCAACGTTTTCAATTATTTTCGCAGACGATATCAACACTACTGATGACAGTGAATATCTTTACAAGGCCATTAAATCAGGTTAGTTAAAGACGACGAATGATTGAGTTCGATTTTCAAAAAAAAAAAAATGTTTGCAATAATATTCAAACTTAATGGTCCACTTAGTATAGTGCGTTATATCAAATTTAAATTCATTCCGTTCATCAAATCTAGGCAAAGTAGATGAAGTCACATCTCTAATTGATAATGGTACAAATGTGAATGCGTTTGAACATTCTCGATTCACACCACTCCAATTGGCTGTTGCTAAAGGTAGTTTTCAATTGGGAATTGAAAATAAAGCATTTGTTCATACGAATTTGATATATTTTGCAGGTCAGACGGAGATAGTTAAAATTCTTATCGAACATGGAGCTGATGTGAATGATGTGAATGTGGAAAATCAAACTCTACTTCATATAGCAGCAATGTTCGGTAATTATGCACAATTTTGAATAAACAATTTCTTTTCTCCGCGCATAGCTAATCAATGTTCCTTAATTAACGTTCAGATAATTTGGAAATATGCAAAATCCTAATCACAAATGGAACAAACTTGCATGCTGAAGACTACAGAAAGAATACCCCACTCCATACCGCCGCTGTCTATGGTAATTGCCTATATGTTTAGAAACTAGATGTGATTTTAGTGTATTGAAGCCAATAACTAATAATCCGCCTAATATTTCAGGTTCAAATGAAACGGTTGAATATTTAATTGCACAGGGAGCCAATATAACTGCCGAAGCTGTTCAAAAAATGACACCTTTACATGCGGCTGCCATGGCTGGTATAATTTCCAATTTTTGAATGAAAAAAATGAAATTCTTAAATACTTTGTCTGTTTGATCAACATTTCAGGGAATTTGAACACTTGCAAAACTCTAATTGCACATGGAGCGGACGTAAATGCAAGAAACGAAGCAAATTTAACATGTTTACATTGGGCAGCTATGCTTGGTAATGATCCTTTTTTAAATAATTAAACATTGTGTGTGTACGACCGATACGCTGATAAGTATTAAATTCATTTGATCAATGTTTCAGGTACAAAGGAATTAACTGAATATCTGATCACACAAGGAGCTAATGTCAATTCTATTGATAAACGCCTGGTTACGCCTCTCCATTTGGCTTACTATACAAGTGATTCCAAACATTTCAAAATAAATACTGACCAATTCCAATGCAGCATTTATTTTCACTATTTCAGGCAATGAAGAAGTGCAAAAGGTCTTGATTGCTCACCATGCAGATGAAAATGCAAAAAACATTGATAATAATACACCACGTGAAAGCTATCGTAGTAATGCTATATTTTGAATTATTATTTAATAGAAATATTTTTTTTAATTGAAACTGTTTAATTGAATTTTCTAGAGATAGGAAAAAGGATGAAAACCGTAATTATTGACGCCATAAATGAAAGGAAGAGAATTTTCACGGTCCTGTAGGAAATGTAAAGTCACTTTAATCGTAAAATTAGAAAGTAGAATAATCAAGCTTCAACCGATTTTTTAAACAGCCAACGAAGAATTTATTGATCGATCATGACGCTGATGTAAATGAATGCCAAAAATATTGATGATAAGATACCGAGTTAAATAGGTACTCTTAGTACCACATGCACTTTTAAAAAGTAGTTTTGCAATAAAAAAAATGGTTTACTTTCATTTTCTGGATAAAGACTCCGATTTACCGCTAAATTTTTGACTTTTTCGCCATTATTATGAATCTTAACATGCAAATGTATAAAATATTAAGGAGCCTTCATCTTTTAAAAGTTTTAAAAATGTATTTTTATTTCCTTTTTGTAAATGAAAGAACCTTCGATTTTTTGAGAATCAAAATGCCTGGATTGAGAGTTAAAACTGGTTTATAAATCTGAATTTCCAACCTAAGTTAAACATTTCTCAACGCCCTAATGACTTCTGTCATCCCCAGCGAGTACATTTAAACTAATCTCAATACATAATCAAAGTGTGTCATACACTTTTTCTGGCAAATAAGAGCTAATTCAATCATCGGACTTTGGCTTCATAGCTTCATTTCAAGCCAGCATTGTGACACAGCCATGTTCTACACAGCCATGTCTCGTTATGTTTCAGTAGAAAAAAAAATGATGATAATATTACTTAAACAAAAGTGACTGCATAATTTCCTTTGTTAATAATAAAAGATAAAAAAATGCAGCACAGTCATGCGGTGCCGGCATGTAAATTCCGATAAAATAATATGACTCCACTCATTTAAAAAGTCAGTTGTATATTCAAATTTGAAGCAATCACACACTCAATCGTGCGTTTAATTCTAAAAATCGTGCTTAATAATTGAAATGAAGTTATATTTGATAGGTTTTATCGTGGTTTTCCTAATTCAAGTCAAATCAATATCATCGGATATGGGATATGGATTTTATGAGTGTTTTTTAAGCGATGATGGCGAAACACTTGACTTCATTTGCAACAGTGCCGAAACAAAACCGATGTGTCCCGAATTCAATCGATCACAGGTGAAAATACTGAAATATCAATGTGATCACACCGTTGGAACCACAAACTTTTTCCGGAATGTCATCAATACATTACCAAATTTAAGCACAGTCAATGTGTCATGTCTCCAGTCATCGTTTTTTTCAATTCCAATGAATGTTAAATTCGCAAAAATCGAAATATTGAAAGCGTCACGAAATCAATTGACTGAAATTCCTAGTGGTATTTTCGATCAAATGCCGAATATAATTGAAATTGATTTCTCATGGAATAAATTTACGAAAATTCTATTGAAACATTTGACCGGAGCCGATCATTTAACGAAAATTGATGTTATGCATAATAATATTGGTTATTTGGATGCTGCAGCATTTGGCGCCGTAAAAAACCTGGAAGTATTGGATTTGAGCTATAATAAACTCGAAAGCATCGAGGACAATGTGTTCAAGGAAAATGACAAGTTGAAATTGTTGAATTTGAGACACAATAAATTATTGAGTTTTAATTTTAGAATATTTTCACCGAGTGCAACCGATATTGAGGTCTATCTCCCGTCGAGGAGTATCGAAAGACTTGACATTGGATGCATTCAATCGGTTTGTCATTTTAAAGGCTTTCAAGACGGAGACAACTTTGATGTGATTAAGACGTTTAAAGCGGAAGGCAATAAATTCAGCAATTTTTCGATTTTATTTGAGAAACTCGGCAGAAGTCTTGAAACTTTGATTTTATCACGATGTATGTTTGAAACCATAACTCATAATCTGTTGGAGAAATTCACGTCATTAACAACTATAATGATGACTAATGCAAATATCAGCAGCATTGAAGCAAATGCGTTTTCTTATCAAACGCGACTCGTTTTGCTTGATTTGTCTTACAACAAATTGACGGATGTTGATTCAACACTGTTTTCGAGAAAATTTCACGATTTGGAAACACTTTACTTGGAAGGTAACCAATTACAAAGAATTGACAATATTACTTCGGCCAATCTTCCGAAATTGCAATCGATTTTTGTCACCAAAAATCGATTTTCGTGCAATTATTTGGTAAAATATGTGGTTCAATGGAAGAAAACCATTCAATTTGGCACACGTCAGTCGGATGTGAATGTTGTTAATGTCAGAGGAATCGATTGTAGTTATGCTGATGTCAGTGAAAAATCTTGTGAAACGGAAACACCACATTCACTTGAATGTCCTTCGACACTGCCATATATTATCATTATCACCTTTCTGAACATAGTTTTATCAGTCATCGTTGCAACTGCGATTTACTGGCGTCGGAAATCGTTCAAACGAACAGTCGGCGGATTAATTAAAACCGATGCTGGCATTCAAACGATGGACTCATTTGAATCGGCGGTGAATATGTTGAACAATTCAAATAATGACTCGTTTTACGAAGAAATCGAGCTAAAGAGCATACCATCCGAAGGTTATCAAACGTTATCAAATGATGTTTTGACACTCGAAAGTCGACCACTTCCGACGCCACCCACCACTCTAGATAAAACTCATAAACCAAATCACCATACATCACCACTTGACTATCAATACGCTCAAGTGTGTAAAAGATGATGATGCGGACGATTTTTTTTAATTAAATAATAATAATACAAAATTTGTTGTTCGATTCTTATCTTCAGCAGTCGAAGTGATACAGGCGTATTTTATCCATTCGTATGTGAAAGCATCTATCAAAAAAATATTTTTTTCACAGAAAATTGGTAGACTTTGTAATATTTGTCATAAATTTGAGTCATTTTCATCAGCGATTTCGATGTAAACAAATTTTATCACATTGCATAAAATTAGTTGTAAATAATCATACTTTTAAGAATTATTTTATTTATTGTGGAATAAAGAGTGTGTGGACGAAAATGTGTTGTAATTTTGTTTTGATAAACGCATGATTTCGAAAGCGAGCTCCATGGTGTATGGGACTCAGATAAGAGTCTTTGTTTGAAATAATCAACGGAAACCGCATTGAAATTTCAAGTTTAAAACTGAGTTCAGTTGACCACGTGTATCAGTCATCGTGACCAAAATAGATTTACTTGATAAGAACGGCTGAGAATAACTGAGAGAAGGCATAAACACTGGGCGAGAGAAATAAGGCAAAAAGTGGATGAGAAATGAATGTAAATATATGAGTCAGATATAATAGAGCAGCATTTGTCTGATATCGTAATGAAATGATGTACATTTTATGTTCTTTATAAGAAATGGTTTCCATTTCTTTTTATTTATATGCACTCAAAGAGAGAAGACTCATCTTTTGATTGAGAACACACTCGTAGATTATAGAATTTTCTGTTGAAGAACTAAAATGAAACTTGCATATATTAGACTGGGTACAAAAACTTTAACTTTTTGTTATTATTAAAAAAGGTGTTTGACATTTTGTGGTAATTTGAATATTGCACATAATATGTGTTTGCATTTGATTCACTGAGGCCGGCTTCGAGTTTATCTCCAACATGAATTAAGCCGGCACCGGTCGGTGTTCCAGTCAAAAAAGATCGCATGGCTCCAAAGTCATATACTTTGATACATATGAGATTATTTCCAACGCATTATGAACCAAACTTTTCGTATTGCCCATTTGACGCCGCACATCATTCACATTCAAATAT